TTTGTAGCTTCTTCCTGTTCAATCTTTTACCCACCTGACTGGCACCGCGTTCTGCCTGACAGTAACCACTAACCACTAACAAGCTTTGCTCTCTATACATTTGCTTATATCATATAAACGAAATCATACAATATTTGTCCTTTTGTGACTGACTTATTTCACTCAGCATAATATTTTCAAGGCTCATTCATGTCATAGGATGTATCAAAACCTCATTTCTGTTTATGGCTGACTAATATTCCATTGTACAGATATAACTCATTTTGTTTATCCATTCATCTGCTGAGGGGCATTTAGGTTGTTTTTACCTTTTGGCTAGTGTGAGCAGTGCTGCAATGAGCACTGTGTACAGATCTCTGTTTGCTTTCCTGCTTTCAATTCTTTTGGGTGCATACCTAGGATTAGGATCACTGGCCTATATGGTAGTTTTATGTTTAACTTTTTGGGGCCTCACCAAAGTACTTTCCAAGGTGGTTGTACCATTTTACATTCCCACCAGCAATGGATGAAGGTTCCAATTTCTCCATATCCCCCCAAACACCTGTTACACCTGTTATTTTCCTTTTTTGTTTTATCATAGCGGTTCTAGTGAGAGAGCTTATTTATTGTAAAAGGAAGTTCCAGTGCAATGAACTTGGATTTAATATCCCCAGGATGCTTTTCCTCTTAATATAAAAATGAGACCCACAGCATGGGTAGATGGGAGTGCTACTTTGGGAATAGAGAGAGCCCCTAAGGAACAAATCAGGGAAGGTATATTTCCCTGCCTTCCTGGGATGCAGGGTGGGGAGCCTTGCTAAAGATTGCTCTGGTGGGAAAATCAGGGTAAAGACAGTTCTCTGATAGTTAAACATGTGCTTACTAGTCATCTGTATATCTTCTAAGGTTAAGTGTCCATTCATGATTTGTTAGTTTTTTACTGTTGAGTTTTGAGCGTTCTTTATATATTTTAGATAATAGCTCTTTTTTGATTTGTGGTTTGCGAATGTTATCTCCTAGCCAGTCCTGTGTCTTTCCATCCTCTTAACAAGGTCTAAGACCTTAAGTTTTAAGTTTTAATAAAGTGCAATTTATCAATTTCTCCTTTTATCAATTGTGGTTTTAGTGTCAAGTCTAAGAACATGGCTTAGTCCTAGGTCCAAAAGATTTTTTCTTATAGTTTCTTATGAAAGTTTTATAGCTTTATGGTTAATATTTTAATCTATCACCCATTAAAGCCTTGAGTTGCAAAATTGAAGGATTCTATGGGCAAATTATTGAATGACACAGGAAGCATCAAAAGGAGATGGAAGGAATACATTTCACTGTACCAAGAATTGATTGGCAGTTGACCATTTCAGCAGGTAGTATGTGATCAAGAACTGATGGCACTGAAGGAGGAAGTTCAGCTGCACTGAGAGCATCGACAAAAAAAAAAAAAAAAAAAAAAAAAAAAGACTCCAAAGACTCCAGGAATAGATGGAACTCCAATTAGGATGTTTCAACAATATGATGCAACACTGAAAGCACTCACTCATCTATGCCAAGAAATTTGGAAGACAGCTACCTGACCAACCAACTAGAAGAGATCCATATTTGTGCCCATTCCAAATAAAGTGATACAAAAGAATGTTGAAATTATCAAACAATATCATAAACAAGTAAAATTTTGCTGAAGATAATTAAAAAACTATTGTGACAGTATATTGACTGGGAACTGCTAGAAATTCAACCAGATTCAGAAGCAGTGGGACGAGAGAGATCATTGCTGATGTCAGATGGATCTTGGCTGAAAGCAGAGAATGCCAGAAAGATGTTTACCTGTGTTTCATTGATTATGCAAAGGCATTTGACTGTGTGGATCATAACAAATTATGGATAACATTGTGAAGAATGGGAATTCCAGAACACTTAATTGTGCTCATGAGAACAGGTACATAGACCAGGAAGCAGTTCTTCAAACAGAACAAAGAGATATTGCATAGTTTAAAGTGAGAAAAAGTGTCCTCAGGGTTGTATGGTTTCACTATATTTATTCAATCTATGTGCTGAGCAAATAATCCAAGAAGTTGGCCTATATGAAGAAGAACACAGTATCAGGATTAGAGGAAGACTCATTAACAACCTGTGATATGCAGCTGACACAGCCTTGCTTGCTGAAAGTGAAGATGACTTGAAGCACTTACTGGTGAAGATCAAAGACTACAGCCTTCAGTAGGGATTACATCTCAACATAAAGAAAACAAAAATGCTCACAATCAGACCAATAAGCAACATCATGATAAAAGGAGGAAAGATTGAAGTAGCCAGGGATTTCATTTTACTTGGATCTAGAATCAATGCCAGTGGAAGCAGCAGTCAAGAAATCAAATGATGTATTTATTGCATTGGGAAAATCTGCTACAAAAGATCTCTTTAAAGTGTTAAAAAGCAAGGATGTCACTTTGAAGAGTAAGGTGCCCCTGATCTAAGCTATGGTATTTTCAAGAGCCTCATATGCTTGTGAAAGGTGTAAAACAAAATAAGAAGATGAAAGAAAAAATTGATGCTTTTGGATTATGGGGTTGGCAAAGAATATTGAATACACTATGGACTGCCAAAGAGCAAACAGAATGTTCCTTAGAAGCAAATATGGTGAGACTTAATATCAGGTGCTTTGGACATATTATCAAGAGGGACGAGTCTCTGGAGGAGGACATCATGCTTGATAAAGTAGAAGAAGATCCTCACTGAGATGGATTGGCACAGTGGCTACAACAATAGGCTTAAATATAGCAACGATTATGAGGATGACACAGGATCAGGGAGTGTTCCATTCTTTTGTACATGGGATCACTACGAGTCAGAACTGACTAGATGACACCTAACGACAACATGATCCATTTTGAATTTGTTGATGAAACGTGAGGTTTAGGTTGAAGTTCATATTTTTGCATATGGAAATCCATTTATTGAAAAGACTATCCTTCCTCCATTGAATTTTGTTTGCACTTTTGTCAAAAATCAGATGCCCATTCTTGTGTGTGGCTGTTTCTGGGATCTGTTTTTTTTCCCCCATTGACCTGTGTCTGTCCCTCTGCTAATACATTGTAGTCTTGATTACTGTAGTTATATAATGACTTGAGATGAAGTAGAGTGATTTCTCTCATTTTCTTCTTTTTTGAAAATTATTTTAACTATTCTTTCCCCTTTCCTTTTGCTTATAACTTTTATAATAATCTTGTATCTACAAAACAATCACAAAGATAGCACAAGATTGGGCAATATTTTGTTCTGCTTTACATAAGATCACCATGAGTCAGAGCTGACTTCATGACAACTAACATCAACAACAATATCTGCAAATAATCCTGGGATTTTGATAAGAATTGAGTTAAATCTACATATGAATTTGTGGAGAATTAACATCTTTATTTGGTTGAGATTTCCAATCCATAAATATAGTATATCTCTTAATTTATTTAGATCCTTGACTTCTTTCACTAGTTTTTTTTTTTTGATAGATTTCAGCATCTAAATCCTGCAAATTGTGTTCTATTTTTAACTTCAGTTTCCATGTGTTTATTGCTCTTATATCAGAATACGACTGATTTTTGTTTTCTTATTTTCAATTTT